AAGCCTCCATTTATTACCCAGAGCATTTTCTGAAAATTCAGTGACATAAATGTCATAATAAGCTGTGCCCTAGTCCTGAGTAAGTGCTGGGCAGGTTTTAGTTGTACAAGTTGTATTTATTCATCTCTACACTTCCATCTTGCCAGGGAGGGTGTGGTAAGAACTGGCTCATTGGGCTTGAAAGCAGGCCACCTGAAAGGGGGCTGGCTCTGTGAGTACCTTGGTGTTTAGGGATGCTCAGCTTGGGGCCAGGGCATCATTTCCTAGGGACGTTGATAGATGGATCGCTTGCTTTATTCCCAGAGGCATAAGCCAGATCTGGCACCTCTAACCCCTGTGGTACTGGAGAGAATGACAAGAACAACCCTGTCCTAGGCTGGAATTTCCTGGTGTGGCCCTTTATAGCCAGATCCCTTTAATTAACCAGAGAAGGGAATGCAGCCCATGCAGCTCTGGGCTGCTGGATTTCCTAGGCTCAGGGACTGGGTGAGGGAGGCCTGGGCTTGGGGGTCTATATGGCTTCTTGGACCCCTTTACAACCTTTCTTCACCCCTCAGTGACTTCCTCTCAAAAATCAGGTGTGCTGGGTAGCTCATGCCTGTAGTCAAAGCACTTTGGAAGGTGGAGGTGGGAGGATCACCTGAGGTCATGAGTTCGAGACCAGCCTGGCCAACATGGTAAAACCCCATCTCTACTAAAAATACAAAAAGTAGCTGGGTGTGGTGGTACTTGCCTGTAATCCCAGCTACCTGGGAGGCTGAGGCATGAGAATTGCTTGAACCTGGGAAGCAGAGGTTGCAGTAAGCCGAGATCACACCACTGCACTCCAGCCTGGGGGACAGAGTCAGACTCCATCTCAAAAATAAAAAAAGAAAAGAAAAGGGCAGGTGTGAGCGATCTCCCTGCTTCTACCTTTGGTTTGAAAACACCATGCTTCATTGGTTGGTGTGTAGTAGTTTTATGTTCTATTTTTTGTGTATGGCCTCTTAGAGCTTAGGGCCATTTTGGATTGTGGTTTCTGCTGGTGTGACTATAAAATGCTTCTGTGACTCTGAAAGGGTCTGGCAGTTTTTTTTTTTTTTTGAGTAGACATAAGTGACCATACAGCCAGCCACCCTCTGCCCAGATA